GGGGGGGGGGGGGGCTTCCTCCCCTTCAAGTTCCTTCAAGTTCGAATTCTTCCCCTTCCACTCTTGTTTGCGCTGAAACATCTTTCCAACGGGGCCGGACGGCCGCCATCCATCGACACAATCCCTGTGTACAATGCTGTGTTCTTGTCGATGCAGCAGAAGCTGCCCCGATTTTGACCGTAGGCGCAGCAGAATTCGGCAACTAGCTACAAGGTCTTTGTGATGCCACTGCTGGATGTCTGTCCCTGCTGATCGATCAGTTGTCTCGCTGCTCATCGCGCTGACCCTCCTCGCGGGGCTCTGCACATGTAGCGCCTCGCACATCAATCACGGCAGGGCCAAAGCCATCATCCAGTTGGCAACGACCGTCGGTAGCGCGGGGCGCGCGCGCACACAGAAATTCACACCGAGACAGACAGAGAGACAGACGATTATTGGTGCATCCGATCAATGTGATGCAGCTCGCGACGAAAAAATGACCGAGTGCACCAAAGACGATGACTGCAAAGAGATCCGGATTGATGGCAAACAGACGAAGTGCTACGAGCAGCGCTGGAACTTTAAAACAAAGACAGCGGTGAAACCCCCAAAGGGTTTTTGCAAGGTGGGACAACGCAATGAGTGAGTGAGCGAGTGAGTCATGGACAAGCCATTCACTTGTTATATATGTATATGTATATGCATATGAATATGTGTGTGTCCATACAGACAGCAGGAGAACGCGGAGACCGGTGGGCGGGCAAAGACACATAGCCTGAGTCGGACATCATGTGGATTGATTGTCTGTGCGCGCGTGTGTGTGTGTGCTAACTGCGATGCATGTCTGCAGCTGGTAAGCCACACGTAAGCATATGTACATCTTCATACATTCTGCACGTGTGCATCTGTACAGCTCGCCGTCCCATACATGTGGAACATACAGTGGACACAAAAAGGTACCGAGGCGAGACATGGTAGGAACGTACTTGGCAAGGGAGTCTGCAACGAGGAATTACTCATGTCTGAACCAGCTGGGTGCCGGAGGATTTGTATGCCACAGGCAGAGTGACGTTCTGTGGGGATAGGCGTTGTGGACTGGTGTCCATAGGAACCTGACATGAGAACGAAGTGCCGTTGAATGAGTACGAACGATCACTTTCAGTCAACACGCACGGTGCTGTTGCATATACAGCGAAACCTACCTCGAACTCTGAACCGCAAACGGAGGCCTTGGACTAATGTCTATGGGACTCATGTGTGCGTTGCTGGACCGGACCGATGTGCGTGTCGATTGGCGGGGCTCAATTGCCTGGTAGGCGTGATGCGCTCGTGTGTGTATCGTCCAACGAAAACATACATGTATGGTCTCTCTGTGGGTGCCGTGCGTGTGTGTTTTCCTACGGCACGGCAGCCAGTCCAGGAGGGTGGTTCATACGGCTGCGGGAGTCAGTGAGGAACGAGGCACATCTCCAGTCGTGTCGGCCGACTAAACAGACGACTTATACGATTCATCTACACGGCACCGGTGCCTCCTCCCTCTCTCCCTCCACACATAGACGTGTGTATGTACACATGTGGTCAGCCAGGTCAGCCCTCCAGCAGCGCCTCTAAGTCACGCGCGAACGCATCATCACCGGCCGCCTCGGGCACCGCTACTTCTGATGCTGATGCCGCAGCTTTCTTGCGCCGCTTTGGGGAGCGGCCACTCCCCGCGTCGTATGGTGCGTCGGCCGGTGGCTGCTGGTCGGTGAGTTGCAGGGGAGCCGCGGATGAGGGAAGAGCTGACTCGGCTCCTGCTGCTGCTGCTGCTGCTGCTGCTGCTGACGCTGACGCACCTGAGGTAAAAACAGATGGGTGTATGTCGGTGATCTCCCTGTTTCTGTGTGTCATGTCAGCCAGAGTCCTTTGTGCCTTCTCACCTCCGTCTGCATCTCCACCTCCATTTCCATGGCCATACTCGTCCACCTCACGTTGGCTCTGTCGCTTGAGGAGATCCCCCTCCTCGGCCATCAGTTGCTTGAGGGAGGCATCCACTTGCCTCTCCAGCTCCACCAGCAGGATCCTCTCACGCTTGAGCACACGCAGCTCCTGCTGACCACTCAAGTGGCTGCACAACATGACGCGCACCTCTGTATGCGAGCTAAGCTCGCAGACGCTCGGGGTCTCGAAGCGCTCAGAAGGGCTTTTCAAGCAGGAGAGTGGCGCCAGCATTGCATAGGGGCAGGCATGCTGTCCGAGGCTGCCCTGACGGGGGCGGGCCTCTCGCATCCACCCATCAGTGAGGCCGATGCGGCGAAGGAGCCCTTCAGGTGGGTGGAGGAGGTCTCCCACTACTGCAGGTCGGTGGTGTCCCTCAACACGTTGAGAAATTTGAGGGGAACAAGGCGACAGACACAGACAGAAGGGATGCATCTTCGCTGACTGACTGACTGCAGGGACAACGTCGACAATATCCCCGAATCTACCGAAGTCATCATCATCGGCATGGGTGGGTGAGCCATGCAGAAGGACAGACAGAAGTCGTCTCTGATGCACGCGTGAATCCTGCCTGTCTGCCTGTCTGCCTGTGTGTGTGTGTGGGTGTGTGGGTGCAGGTCCATGTGGTTTGTGTTTGGGCGCTGAGCTGCACCTGCGAGGGATCGATTTTATCATCATCGACCGATGCCCGCGGGTCATTCCGGTGTCCACTGCACTGGCCATTCACGTCAAGACACTCGAGATCTTCGAACGTACACAACACGCACACACACACACACACGCACACAGGCGGCCGTGCAATGCTTGGTTTGTTTGTTTGTTTGTGTGTGTGTCTGTCTGTCTGTCTGTCTGTCTGTGTGGCGTCAGGCCTGGGGATCATCAACGAAGTTCTCGAGAGGGCGGTGGAAGTGGTGAGTGGACAGAAATGAGATCCGCCCCCGGACACACGGCATGCAGTGGATGTTGTTGTGCTCGGCTCGATTTGTGTGTTTTGTTTGGTTTGTTTTGTGTGTGATCAGAGGGGCGAGCGGCTGTTCGTCAACGGGCAGATGGCTGTGGACTTCGCTTTCGACGAGTGCCAGACGAGCCACCACAAGTTCCCCGTCGTTATTCCACAAGACGAGCTCGAACACATCCTAACCAAGGCAATCGGTGCGCCGTGCCTTCACCCACCCATCCATCCATCCATCCATCCTTTGTCATACAATGCGCCCACGCGCGTGTGCATGCGCAGGCCCCCATCGATGGAAAGCCCCCCTGTGGGTGCATTCGCTCGAGGCCTCCGACCAAAGACAACAGCCCGAGTCGACCCTGGCTGACGCGACGGCGGGTATGGGTGTGAGTGTGAGTGTCCAGGCCATCGAGCTGACGCCAGAGATCATCCAGCACTGCGCACACGGCACCCCTTTGCCCGAGGGGAGCGGGCTGGTGTTCAGGGGAGAGGCCAAGACCATCCGCGGCAAGTACTTGGTGGGCGCTGACGGGGCGGCCAGTAGGGTGCGGCAGGAGATGGGAATCAAATTCGGCGGCAAGACGCTGCCATACGAGTGAGTAGTGGAGGGAGTGCCGGAGAGAGAGCCAGGCCAGGCGTGTTGATGTATCTGGTGTGTCGATGCGATGACTGTTTATCCATCAGGTACGTGAGCGCAGACGCGCACATCCGCTGGGGCATCCCAGCCAACCTCAACAGGTGGAACTGCCTCACGGCCAACGGCCACCTGGTGTCGTGCATCGCACTCACCAACGACCGGTGGCGCGTGACGACCCTCCGCTGGACCGGCCAGGACGAACAAACCACCCTTCTCGACAACAATCGACGACCCCAGTTCCCCTCACAAGACGAACTCGAAGACCTCCTCAACCTGGTTGGTCACTTCGCACCCTTCTCAGCGCTGTTCCTTGATGGTGTTGTTATGTTGGTTGTTTCCCATTGATCAATCAGGTGGTGCCTGGCACAAAAGTGCAGCAGATGCTGTTCCGGACGGTCATGCCGGTGCACTCGCGGAGCGCGGAGCGGTACTCCGCCGCCGGGGGGCGGGTGTTCCTCATCGGCGACGCTGCACACGCCTTCCCACCGCTGGGATACCTGGGCATGAATGTCGGCGTGGACGACGCCTCCAACCTAGGTGTCCATTGATGGATGGATGGACGCGTCAATGATCCACCACTCTGTGTGTGTGTGGGTGTGGGTGTGTGTGTGTAGGGTGGAAGCTGGCGCGTGTGTGTCGTGGGCGTGCGGCGCCTGAGCTGCTCGACACGTACGACGGCGAACGGAGACCTGTGGGCGGTGAGTGAGTGATTGAGGGAGGGAGACAGATGAGCCACCTTAGTCAGAAAGACATAGGCTCTCTCTCTCCCACTGTGTGTGCAGAGAAGGTGGTCAAGTACACAACCATGGGGTACAACGACGTCCTGCTGGCATACGAAGGCAAAAAGTCAAGTCGGTGACACACACACACACAGAGAGAGAGAGAGAGAGGGAGAGAGAGGCTGCCACTGTCTGTGTGTGTATGTGTGAGTCTGGTCTGTCTGCTGTGTGTGTGTGCAGAGAGCTGGGGCGCGTTCATGTTGAAGCACCTGCTGCCTTTGCTATTCCGCGCGCCATACGTGTCCTCCACTCTCAGCACGGCCATATCCATGACCAACATCCAGTACTCGCCACAAACCAGGTACACACATGGGCTGCATGCCGTAGCGGATGGATGGATGGATGTGGTGTGGTGTGATGGTCAGTGCGTTGTCTGACAAGCACCGCGTGCCGTCTGCCTCGGCCATGCCCGGCTGGCGGCTGCCCGACACCATGCTCGAACTCATAAACGAGTCCTCCGTCCTCAGATGCAGGCTGCACCAGGCACACACACACACACACACACAGGCACACACACAAAGATTTCCTCACACGACACTCTGTGTGTGTGTGTGTGTGTGTGTGGGTATGTGCTGTGTGCAGATCTTGCCGAGTCCCCATTTCGCGTTGGTGATGACTCTGTGTCTGCCGAGCACGCCCCCGCCGATGAGGGCGAGCTTCATCAACTGCGCGTGTGCCGAGGACTGCCCCTGCTACTGCTGCAGGAAACGACGACTCAACACAAGTGAGTCTTTGAGACAGACAGAGAGTGGGCGTCTGGGTGGTTGAGCGTGGAATGCGTGTGTGCAGTGGGGAGCACCATTCTGTGGCTGGTGCACCTGGCTGGCGGTGTGATGCGCAAGCTGGGACACCCAAACCATTCGCCGTGGGGCGGCGTCCAGCCTGTCGTCGTGCTCGTGAGCCAACCACCCACACACCCACACACATCTGTCACACTGATGGCATCATGTGTGTGGGTGTGCAGACGTTCCCCAAGGGCAGTTCGCCGAGCCCGCTGAGGATAGAGGTCCCCGGCCAGAAGGACGAAAGTCTCGCGGCGCTTCTGTGGGACGTCAAGGCCAGGCTGCAGCAAAAGTGAGCCGCTGAGACACACCCACGCCCCCACCCACCCATAGACAGCACAAGAGTGCCTGCATGCGCGTGTGTGTATGTGTGTGGGATGGCTGCAGGTTGAGTGAGATAGTGGGTCCGCTGGAGCTGCCTGTAGGGTGGGATGTGACGGGCGAGATCCGCCAGCTGCTGGGGCCGGGCAACCCCCTCCCGCCATGCCCTGGTGCCTTCCACCTCCTCAGACCTGACGGCGTCATCGCCTGCAATGGTATGTATCTTCACACCACACACACGCACACGGCAGTATCAGTGTGTGTGTGTGTGTGTGTGCAGGTGTTGCGGGTGACTTTGAGGCAGCGTCGAGTCTGCTCAAGGGCATCCGGCAGTACCTGAGCACCAAGAAGGCCACCAACACCACACAGCAGGGCGGCGCACCCAACGCACCGCCACCACCAGGAGCACCAGCAGGGACCGCCCCGATGCACCTGCAGAACGGCCACTATCCGCAGCAGCAGGACAGCCAGACTCATGAGGAGACCCTCCTGCGGCTGACCCGCCCTGGCAGCCGCAGCTTTGTGCAGAGCGACACACAGTGATCCATCAAGAGGGAGGGATGGAGGGAGGGAGGGGGGCGTGTGGTTGTGTTGTGTTGTGCAATGTAGGCCAGTCAAGTCTGTTGTGGTTTGTTTTTTGTTTCTGGGTGGCTTGTGGGTGGGTGTGACGTGTCGGCTGAGGTGGCGTGACTTTATTCAGCGAGGCAGGCAGGCAGGCAGGCAGGCAAGCCCCCGAGACGGGGAGAGGTATGATGGTACGTGCCTTGCTCGGTTTGGTGGGGTGCACTGGCAGTAGGGAATTGGGTGGCTGGGTGTGTTTTATATTCTAAAGCACGCAGACACACACCCACACACGTGTGCCTTCATATGTGTCCTTCGTGTCTGTGGACGACGTGGCGTTGGCTGCATTGCAATGTGTCCGTTGGTTCTTGTTGCTTCTGAGGGCTTACGAGGGCTGGCTTGGCTGACGGGCTTGGTTCCACTCATCTCAGAGAGTGGGTGAGTGAGATATTTGGGCGTGGCGTCCGTCGTGAGTGTGTCCACAACAAGGGGGCTCGGGAAGTCGATGGATCGGTGCAGTTGCCTGTGTTGCGTGTGTGATTGTGCCTCTGTGTGTGTGCCTCTGCGCGTGTCCTTTAAGAGAGAGTAGAAAGACCATTGACGGAGAGAGAGAGGAAGTATGTGTGCGTGTGTGTGTGCGTGCGTGTTGGTCTTTTTCGTACGAGTAAGAAAAGTAGGTAGGTAGGTAGGTAGGTGTTTTTGCCTCACACTGAGTCAGCCCAGCGTCACATGCTACCGGCGGCGTTTCGTCTGCTCTCCTCCCAGAGACCAGACCATACACACACTAACTGCAGAGGTGGATGCATCTGACGTGACACGCAGCAGTGAGTGAGTGAGTGAGTGAGGGGCGGGGGGACGTACACACATATACACATTGACGAGGGAGAGCCGCGTTACGTACGCACAGACCTGCAGACGATGACAGAGTGTCTGTCTGTCAGACTGACTGACTGACGTCAGTCACTGAGACTGACGCTCATCTACACACACACGTGTTTTCTCCACATATGACCCTCACATATATAATTATTCTGTGATGAATGAACACACACACACACGCACTCGGCGTCCATGAGAGTGAGACCTTTCGTGTGGGGTTTTGATCGCGCGAGCGGTGGACGAGGGGGGGAAGAATATATTTGTCAATATTGAAGCGTTTCATCCCCACAAACCAGACCGCACAGCAGGCAGCACACCATATTGCCGACTACTTTTGACACATATAATCATAGCTTCGGGGGTCTGTTTGTGCGTGTGATTATGTGTGGGTATGCTGTCGGAACGCAATGAGAGCGCCTCACACACAAGAACGTCACACACAGACTATGTGCCACTCGCGCGACAAGAGTGGCAGCTGCTGGCCAGCCATCAGGCACCCCCGACATACAGACACACACGTAGACAGACACAAGGCCTTACACACACAAACACACATCAGACCACGACCATTGTTACACAGTGTCTACCGCTTGTACTTCGCCATGATCTCTATGATCTCCGGCTCTTCCTCCGCCATATCCCACGGCGTCTTCCCCTGTCGTTGAGCACATCACTCGACCCATCGATGGTGTGAATGTCTGTGTGCACTCACCTCGTTGTCTTTGATGTCGACCAGAGCACCGCCGCCCCACTCGAGCCTTTGAGGATGACACAGAGGCAGAGAGAGAGTGGGTGAGACACTCGCGTCAGTCAGTCATCTGTGTCGCTCACAGCTGAGACACAGCTGCAGAGTTGCCATGGCGCGCAGCCCCCCATACAGCCCAATGGAGTGCCGTCCTGTTGTCCTGTGTGTGTCATGCAAACAGGCAAAGGCAATCAGACAGATGAGAGGCATTCTGTTTCTGTTTCGCGTGTGAGGTCTGACCTCGTCCTTCTGAGTGAGAAGCTCTTCCCCTCCTTTGGCATACAAAACCTCCATCACCTCGACATGACCAATGCCGGCAGCAAAGAAGAATGGCGTCTTGCCAAACTGCAATCAAGACACACGCACACACACAATCGACACAAAGGAGGTGTCAGAGACGTGTGTGTGCTCTGTTGCCTTGTCGGCTGCATCGATCAGTTCGGGATTCCACTCCAGCAGCTGATTGACAGCCGCAACATGACCATCGTAGGCAGCGAGGTGCAGGGCATTCTTTTTATCCTGCATTGCATCACAGCCAACACACACATCGCTCCTCATCACCAGCAGCACAGATCATTCTGTGTCTGTGTCGGTACCGCGTACGTCTGCTGTTTGCTGCAGTACGTCAGGTTTGCTCTCATGGATGACTTTCATGACGCTCACGTGACCCTCCTGTGCAGCCACGAGGAAGGGCGTCATCTGCGCGCGGGAATGAGAACACACAGCCAGACCACTGAGCGCATTTCTGTCGTCTTTACGATTGCATACCTTGAAGGTGTTTCGTTTGTCGAGTATGTCCTTGCCGTCTCGGGCGATGAGCGAACGAACGTCTTGCGTATCGCCGGCCTTGGCGGCATCGAAAATGTCATTCTGACACAAGCAGCACAAGAACAGCGGCCAATTGACGTGTGGGGTTCAGCTGCCGTCGCCCTTACGTGTTTGATCTGTGGCTTGGACCGGCGCGGGTGCTGGGGAGGGGCCTCGGTCGCTGAGCTTGTCCAGCAGCTTATTGCAATATGCAGCACACCAGATGCACAGACAGACATAGTGCAGACGACATTGGCTATGCAACATAGCGTACACATTGGCCCTTTCATTGACATCGCCCTAATCCGACCTCTTGTGCGCTCGGCCGGCTTTTGGCATTGAAGGCGAAACAGCTCTGATTGGCCACGCGAACAACGAGAGAGTCACATCCACCATTTATGCAGCACTGTGCGCCCAATGTCTTGCCTGGATGGCCTGTTTGACATTGACGGGGGCACTCTGGGGGATAGGGGGCGTCTGCACGACACAGAGACACGCGTGCTGACAGATGTTGGTCCACACAGTTGTGCAGCCGCACACCTCTTTGTTATCGTATATCTTCTGCTTGATTTGTCCCTTGCTGAGGCCGGCGAAGGGCGGAGACGCTGCAGACACAAATGGCATACCGACGCACCTGTCTGACGTCCTGTCTGCCGTGGTCTCTGTGTCTCACTCACTCACCGCCGAATATCTCAGCAAAGATCAGCCCGACTGACCAGATGTCCGACTTGAGCTCCAACTTGGGCCCTGAGAGACGTCAAGAGTCTCATGAGGTGTCTGTGTGTGTCATGCTGTGGTCACTTTCTGTGAGGGCCTCTGGAGAGGCATACACTGGAGTTCCCGCTGGAACCACGGATCCAATGGGTCGCTCTGAAAGATACATGATTTGCGTCTTCTCACCGAACTCAATGAAGCTCAGGTGCGACCTCTGGTCCGGCATAACCCAAGCTAGACCAAAGTCTGAGAGCTTCACATTTCCATCGTTGTCCAACTGCACATCAAGCAGCGGAGACACACGGATGCGTACACAGAGAATGTGACTGCTGTATGTCCCAGTCACCAGAACGTTGTCAGGCTTGAGGTCGCGATGGCCGATGCCGTGGCTATGAGCATGGATCAGGCCCTCACATATCTGGCAAACACAAAACACCGATATTCGCGTCGAAGTGGGAAGCGTATCGCCCGCCTCACCTGCTTGGCATATTTATACTGCAGGTGCTCAGGGACTTCCCCCGCCCTCTGACGCAGTTTCTTGAGGCACTTGTCCAGTGAGTCCTCGTAATATTCTGCAGAAGGGACGGCATGCAATGTTCTGTCTGTTGTTGTATCCTCACCCATGACGAGAAAGGGGATTTTCCTGCCGTAGCACACGCCCAGCAACTTCACCACGTGCGGGTGCTGCAGACGGGCCAATGCGTCCGCTTCCTGTAGAACTCTGTCTTTCAGACCCTGCACAGTTGCACGTCCGGCCCAGCCGATGTCATTGCCGCCGATTACACATTGCTACCTCTTTGCCCAGTACGTCTTCCAGTTCCCTTTTGGCCCTCTTGATGGCGACTCTCCGATCCCCCCACATGGCCCTGTACACCAATGCGAAACCGCCGCCTCCTGACAGGGCAGTCCACCCAAACGAGTGTCCGGTGTGTGAATGAGTCGGCTCCGTGTTTCTCACCAACGTAGTCTTCTTCTTCATCCCAGTGAAGATCATGGATGTTAATTACGCAAGGGCGCGCTTTCTAATGAAATTTGGGGGGCGACGGGAGTGATAGGTAACTATAGGTGCATCAGGACCGCATGATGCCCGCTGTCACATGAGACGCGTGCGGCCCCCAGTCTCCTTCAGGCTGTCGAGAAAATCGTGATTCGATCCAAAGGCGAGACCCGCCTCGCCAGATAAGCATCGGGCAAGGACCGCGTCTACACCACACTGTCAGCGCCATCGCCCTCGTCAATTTAAGCCCACTTTCAGCCCCGTCCGTGACCAGGAGCCAGATCTACGGGCACTTCTATCCTGGGCTGGGTGGGAGCCAGCTCTCCCCACGGTGCTGCCCGCATGTGAACCGCATTGATGAGAGCTACCATTCGTCCATACAACCCACCGCCCCACTCGGCCTGTGACGCCCTCCATCGGACACTCTCCATCGGACACAGATGGTGAGTTCCCTCCACTCACGTCACAGGATGAGTGCCCCGGCGGGGCACCCGACGAGATGGGTGGTGGGTGTTTCTCTACAGGGTGGCCGGCTATATTGACCATGCATGGCTGATGTGAGACATCCATGGCCGGCCACCTCGTGGCCAGTCAGGCCAGGATCACGGCCGTC